CTTACTTTTCGTCACAATCCTACGCAATGTTCGTCTGTCTCGATCACTCAACACACATTTCCATCCATACTGGTGTTTATTGGATGCGGTTTTTTCAGTCCTCCTGTATGCGGTCATAATCTTGGATACTGTGCCTTGTAAAACACCAAAAACCTCGGCTACCTTGGTTACGGAAGCACCCACCATATGGGCCCCAACAATTTGCCTGTGTTAGAATTCTGTTAGCTCTGACATGATGCGCAAAAAATTGCACAGAACACTGTCTCGACAACAAATGAAGCTTGCAACGTATTGCGGAGGTTGTACAGGTAGTGGTGTTGGGCAGATACGACAGCGTGACCTACAAACATCGCTAAAATAAACATTTCAGGCATGCATTTCACGAGGTGTTTCCATATTTTTATCCATCCCCTGTACATAGGGTCAGTGCTGTTAGGCAGACAGAAATAAATACAGCTGAGCTGTTAATACCTGATCCTAGCCCTTTTGAAGTTGAAAGTGCTATTGCAAAATTGAAACGGTATAAATCGCCAGGTAGTGATCAAATTCCGGCAGAACTTATTCAAGCAGGAGGCGAAATATTATGTTCTAAGATCCACAATCTAATTACTTCTATTTGGCATAAGGAAAATTGCCTGATCAGTGGAAGGCGTCTATTATTGTACCAGTTCACAAGAAGGGTGATAAAACTAAGTGTAGTAATTATCGGGGGATATCACTGCTATGAACTTCATATAAAATTTTCATGAAGGAAAACTAGAAAGCTCCGGCTTGTGTACTAGAACACTTGGTGCATTGGATGAAAGGAATCTTATAATAGAGATGGCAGTGAATATTGATGATACGAAATGCTGGACACTGTAAATAATTTTGTGTGTTCTCTATGGTACCATTAGTGCTCTACCTTCATGCATGGCTCAGGGTTAGTAACTAACTGGAGTGTAGGTTTCAGCATCAGGGTACAGTGACATAACATCGCTAAAATAAACATTTCAGGCCTTTATTTTCCATATATCCATACAGGCAAAAATCCTAGGATGTGGAAATAGTCCATTTCTTGGTAACCAATTTGCTAATACAGAGTGTCCCAAAAAATGTGTGCACATTTTAATATGAAATATTTGCTTTGTTATTCAGCATGGTCTTTCTACTGTGGGAATGTAGTGTGGTCTGCATGTAACAGATGGCACTAAAGTACCATTTCTCATGATTTGCAGCTATGCACAGTGGCAGAGGGTCAAGTTTTGAGCAGTGCCAATTAATTTTGAAGTGGTACTGGAAATGGAAAAACTACAACCATGCATTTGAAAGCAGCCCTCCAACATACTAACAATCACAAGAATTTGAGACAATTTTGAGGTATACAGTACTGTAAAAGACATGGCTAAGCAACAAACTGGTAGACGGTGCACAACAAGTGAGGGCATTTCTGCTGTGGTGTTACAGCAGTTCACATGCTCACTGAAGAAATCTGTAAGGTGTAAATCTGCTAGTGAGACTGGAATTTCTGGATTCTAAAAACAATTAAATGGGAATACTACATGGCAGAGTTAATGAAGACAGTCCTGACCACAGACTTGAGTATCGTGAATGGGTTCGGAGGAAGGTTGAATGAGGATGCACAATTGCTGGACATAACTGTTTGGGCTGATGAAGCAAAGTGTACAGCACGAACACATTAAGAACTCCCATAGAAAGCTGAACGGTCATGTGCAGCCATCCCAGCACAAACTTAGTGGCCACTTGTTAGTCAGTTCCTGACTGCTGTGAATAGTGTTAAAAAGCTAACAGTGGTCATTTTGAACACCCAGGCTAGGTTCACTGATGCACTAATTTCTAATGCTGACATTTGTAAGGGGTTAGTTTTAATAAAATGTCTGTTTTATTTATGAAATGTGTGTAATTTTTTTTAAATATCCTGCATTTCCTCAGTAAACTGGGAAAAGGAGTCTTAGACTTTCTTTGTATGAAATAATTGTAGAAAAAAAGGGATCTTATGGTGTGCTGCCCAGAGTGTGGCTGAAGTGATGGATGTTTGTGCAATAGCATAGAATTAGAAGAATACAGGGAATAACATGCATGAGCAATGAAAACTGACTGCAAAATAATATGTGTGTCTACAATGCAGAACGGTTATGCTGGTAGGACAAACAGGAGAAGTATGAGTTTTATGTGTTCGCTGCAGCGGGAACGTTTCTAGCGAGTCGTTGCTAAGAAACTTGGTGGCGGGGGGCAGGGGGAATACATACAGGCACACAGACTGAAGGAGGGGATTTATGAGTATGCCGTTGACATGAGCTTAGGTGCCATGATATACATACTGGATTCAATGAAGTTTGGCTCAGGCATTCAGAAGTTTATGGAGGGGAGGGGTAATTCACAGACAGCATGATGATCTCATAAGCCGACTTTTATTTTTACAAAGTAAGGAAAGTATGATAAAAATCAGAGAAGGACGCCGTCTCACAAACTAAATTAGTGCAGTTTATATCGCTCTAAGAGCAACAGCACAAAATGAAGAATTTGATAAATGTCCAAAAATTTCACACGGTTCACCAGGAGGTACTGAAACATTGAAGTTGGCGGAGTAGTAAGTTGCGTCCGATGCTAATTTTACGCTACATAGGAATATGACCCGAAAATGGCATGAGAGATAATGAAGTAAACCACAAAAATAGCGATACTATAGCGACTCAAACGTCATACCATACGTAATATGGGGAGGGTATATTAAGTTTGATGTAGATTTTAGTTTTGATTAAATGCTACTTATAATAAACTCGCCCGATGTTTCACATGGACCGCGAAAAGAGTCGAGCACGGATTTCGAATTCTGTGGCTTCAAAAAAAATTATCCTTCGGTTTCAGATACGGATTATTTCGCCAAAACGGCATATTTTCATGCAATTCTGGCAATCCAGAAGCTTGACTTGAAGCCTGCATTTCGTGATCCCAGGAGAATGTGATTTACAATGTACTGTTGCCTTATATTGGCTATACTGGTTGACCTCAAAGTAATCTAAGATCGAAGGGCAGTATGTTTATTTATATCGTTGTTGATAACACATTTATAACTTTATTCCAAACTGTGAATTCAGCTATTGTTCTACTGAAATACATACTTCATCAGCACGTACTGTTAGCCACGTTTCACCATGTTCACGCTAATGCCACATGTGTTGCCAAATATTCGACACGTGAGTATGTACTTATTTTTAACAGCCAGTAATGCTGGTAAAAATTTGTGAAAGGTTTGAAAAATCCTGCTCCATATTCGTATAACATGGTTAAAATACTATGTAATTAGTTGAATTTGTGTACTAATTTGAGGTTATGTTTACGTGTACCCAGTAAACTAGTAAATGAACATCATTATTATTCTTAATGTAAGCAGTTTTCTGTTGACAGAACATATTATGGAATCGGAGTGTCACTGCTGATACCAAAAGTGATGTATGTGAGAAATTTATACGCTTTGAATTAAGAAATATAATGCAGCTACAAAAATTTTTATACATTGTAGAATAGTGGGATGGTAGGTAAATGATGAATTGGAAAGTGTTTACAAGGAAGAAGTTATCCATTTGATGCATCCCTGGAACAATCCACAATGTATGCTGAGCACTATGTTGCATAAAATGTACTTATGATTTTTCTTCATCAGACAGTTGATAAAACATAGGTGACTGAATCAGCCTCACATACTCATAACATTCAGAATATGATTTGTTTCATTCTGGTCCGTCACACTAATATTATTAAAAAATTAAATAGTTCTGTCCATTGTGACTGGTTAAGATTTTCTTCTAACAGTATTGATGTAAAGGTGTCCCTCTGAAGAACCGAAACATGTAAGAGCATGAATAATTGAAATAAGAAAATCTTTAACCAGTCACACTGGACGGAACTATTTAACTTTTTCATTCAGAATATATTGTTTTATGAAGAAACACAGGTTCATTTATCCTATGTTCATGAATTGCACACAAAATTTCAACTTTTAAATTGTGTAATGTTGCTTCATCAACAGCAAGGGAATTTTCTCTGCTCCTATATCTGTTATTTTGACTGTCTACATGACCACTAAAAGTGAATTACACCTTATCAAAATAAAACATGCATTCTGGTTCAAGACATCCATTGAATACCGATTTAAAAAATCACATACTGTATCAAATTTTTGCTTCACAGTATGGAGGCAAAAGGCTATGTATGACTAGTTTTGTAAGGTGAAACTTTAGCACTGTTATAGCAACATGAGCTGTACTTTTTGCCAGCCCACACTGAAGACCTTAAAGATGTAATTAATTCATCAAGCTTGCTTCTAACTGAGTACTGGTGTCATCAAAATTTTCTTCAGTAATTGTGTCATTTTGGGATTTCCTTTTGTCCAGTACTGATCCTGTAGAACATAATCTTGTTATAATACTTGCAGTTCGAATCTTTGCTTCCCATATGTGCTTTACTGTCATGATGCTTCCTACAAAATTTTCTGTGGGATTTCCTCCGTGGCAGATGATGTGCAAAGGTACTGTATATGAATAATTTCTTTTCAGCACTTCTTTTCATTTTTGAATACTGAATGTTACATACATGTTGCATACATATTAATGACTTTAAGAGGGGTTACCAATCTAACAGTAACATAGCGAAGGATGAGAATGGCGATCTGCTTGTAGATTTCCACAACATTTTGAATAGGTGGAGGAACTACTTATTTCAGTTCTTGAATGTACATAGGGCAGTGATGTTAGGCAGACAGAAATCCATACAGCTGAGTTGTTAGTACCAGATCCTAGCCCTTTTGAGGTTGAAAGTGCTATTGCAAAATTGAAATGGTATAAATCGCCAGGTAGTGATCAAATTCCGGCAGAACTTATTCAAGCAGGAGGCGAAATATTATGTTCTAAAATCCACAGTCTAATTACTTCTATTTGGCATAAGGAAAAATTGCCTGATCAGTGGAAGGAATCTATTATTGTACCAGTTCACAAGAAGGGTGATAAAAACTGACTGTAGTAATTATCAGGGATATCACTGGTATCAACTTCGTACAAAATTTTATACAATATTATTCTCTCAAGGTTAAGTCCATACATAGATGAAATTATTGGGGATCATCCGTGTGGGTTTCAACATAACAGATCAACTACAGATCAGATCTTCTGCATTCATCAGATATTGGAGAAAAAATGCAAGTATAATGAGACAGTACATCAGCTATCCATAGACTTCAAGAAAGCCTATGATTCAGTTAGGA